ACAGCCACCGCGGTTATTAAATCGCTTGTGTGTGTGCACACTCGACTTCTTGTGCCAGCGGTGCATGTCCTCACCAGGAGTGCTTGTGTTGATTGCATTGTCAGCATGGGGACGGCTGCAGGAGGCCAGTAACAGTCGACATAAGCAGCACAGTGTCTACAAATAAATTGGTTAGTCTCTAAGGTGCCACAAGTACTCCTTTTCTTTTAGTGTCTACACTGACACCTCGTCAACCGAATGACATTGAACATGACTCCGTGCTGCTCAGGGAGGTGGCGTCACTAAATCGGCATCAAGAGGCATTGAAATGGGCGGGAGCCAAATTGAAGTGAAGACACTTCCACAGCTAGGTTGATGCGAGGCAGCGTACGCCGACCTAACCGTGTAACATAGACCAGGCCTCCATCCGTCTGGTGAAGCGTGCGTGTAGCACACGTTGTGATCAGCTGCTGCTGGGTGCCTGCAGGCAGAGAGGACTTTCGTGGGGACCCTTCAGGGCTTGACTCTGAACTATCCTGGGGTTTGTTATTTTCCAGGTTATCCCTGGTTGGCACATTCTCCTGTGAGCGGTCATGAGAGGACACTAGTGTAACGTGCTGGGGAGTGGGTGTGACAGGTCCCCACTGCACTGATCTGCTGAGGCTATGTGCCTGTTACAGCCCCAGCTACGCAGCCTTTTGCTTTTTGCCCTGGAGGTCCCCACTTCAATCCCCAGGGTGCTGACTGTCACAACAGCAGGACCCCGCCACCAGCATTCTGCACACCCTGTGGCCCCAGTTCTCGGCTGCCTGGTGCCCCAAGCGAAGGGAGGGCAGAGTGCTCACCCCCAGTTTGTGCTGGGGTCTGACCACATCAGGTGCAGGGAAGGCTTTTGGGCCAGTTTCTCAGCCCCACTCCATCCCATTTACATTGCTCCTGCAGAGCTTCAGGGATAGAGAACTGCACCGACAGGCCAGCAGGCTAATCCCTTTGTACAGCGACTCCCTGGCAGGTGTGGACCTGCGTGTGCCAGCCGAATCTCATTTCCTCTTGGCCTTCCCAGAAATAAGGTGCACTTTTTTAACAGCGAGGGTAATTAACCATTGGATCAACTGACCAAGTGCCATGGTGGATTCTCCATGGCTGGCAATTTTTAAATCAGGCTTGGATGTTTTCCTACAAGATCTGCTCTAGGGGCAGGGACAGGTCTCTGGCCTGTGCTGCACAGGTGGTCAGACAAGATGATCACAGTGATCCTTTGGCCTTGGGATCTATGACGCTGTGAACATGAATCCCCCGCTGTGATGCAGTGCCCAGGGCGGTCAGCCTCTGCAGGCTCCACTGTGCCTCTGCAAGCTAGCGATGGGCCCGCTCCAGCCGCTGAGTCCTCCAAGCGTCCCCTGGAGTGTCCAGCCCCTGGTCCAGTGGACACTCACAGTATTCACAGATACACTGATCCCAAAGGAACAGTGCCCCCAGCCTACCAGTTCCATCTCAGATCACAGTTCCGCCTAACACACAGCACTTAGATCTGACTATCGTGAAAACAAGTACAAGTGTATTGAATAAAGTGTAGAGAGTTGAGTAGCAGCAAGTCAAAGTATTGGAAACAAATGGTTGCACATCAAATCAAAACAAAACACGCCTCTGGAGTTCAGATTGAATTAATAAGATGTTGTCCTGCCTAATTCATTGTACCTCCCGTAGAGTCTTTGCAGCATTTGCCAGCCAGACTGGCTCTGATCCCCACTCCCCTTTCTTAAGACAGAAGATGCTGAGGGTTTGGCTCCTTGGCAAAGGATGCTGGCTGTACCTCAGTATTCCCAGTTACACCCCAAGAATCCATTGTCTTTGCTTGTTAACAGATCGCCCCCTGCTGGTTTTGTATTTTCCTGCAGCATTCCTCTCATAGGTTTTGCACTCTTTTGATTAGCATCAGGCTCGGTAACGCAGAGAGGCCTCCATTGTGATACATGCAATGCATGGGACACACCTGACCAGCCAGAGAGATAAGTGTCTCCTGCCCCTGCCTGAACAGAATCTATCCAAGCCCTGTCACTTCCTGGTGACCTGCTTTTAATATCAAGGCTTTAAGGACATAATTCCCACTCTAAATACATAACTTCTTAACTATTACCCGTACATGCGTTTCACTATGACTAGGAGGACCAGTGGGCTACTGGCGCTCAGAAGAGACCTGACATGCCACCCTTGGTGAATTATTAGGGATGTACGTCAACCAGGGGATCCCTGTAAAGCTCCATGCATCCCCTCTGCCAGCTGGCATCAAGAGGCCCCTGGGTCACTCTTGGTGTAGGGGTCATGTTGAGGGTGGGAGAGGCATGGGGCCTTTGTTTTGGTCATCACCAGCCAGTGGCATGGTTCCTAGGAGGCTGTTACCAGAGTGTAAATAGAGCCCTTGACTGCTCTAATTTATGCTGTGCTCCTGGCTGCCCCTAGGGTAAGGGGGAAGGCTTAAAGCCGTCTTTGCTCCCTCCCCTCCCCTCCGGTTCTGAGCCAAGCACTGCTCAGCCAGACCTGAAGTTCTGGCCCTTTAAATTCGAGTTGTTTAGCAGGAGCCCAGGCAGAGGAATCTGTTTCACGAGGTTCGGTCCGGACTCAGTGTACATAGTGGAAAGAGCAGGGCTGAGGTTAGCTCCCTGACTGGTTCACGTGGCTCGTGTTTGCACCATACCATTCTGACTCGGTTCATGGATTTAATCAGCTCGTATGTTTTCCCACAGAGTCAACGTTGTCGTGATTTAAGATTCAGGTTTCAGTGCCGGAATAGACAGAGTCTTTCTGGAGCCCAGAAAGCCAGTGCAGAGCTTTACCTGGTGCATGGGTTTGTAGCGTACGCTGTTATTAATGAGCACCATGAGGCCCAGCCATGGATGCTAGCTGATTTCTCTGGCAGGGATCCATCTGCTCGGCTTTCCCACATTATGTCACTGCTGGTCAGTTACCTGGGATTCTGCAGCAGCCTCTGCAGAAAGTGCTGTTACCACAGCTGTCTCTGTGGGTCATGGGCACTCTCCTGCTCATACGTTGGGTGACGAGCCCTTCTGACCACCTCTCAGGGAAGTTTCCCAACTGGGGGGCTAATTTAAATGGGTGGGGTTTGCCAAAGTGACTTAAAAGCCATTGAAAGTCAGTGGGAGCAGGGGGCCTTGCCGTCCTGTGCGCCTTTGAACGTCTCCCCGTGGCGCTGGTGTACCTGCGCCACTTCTGCGCTTGTGTGGATACCACCCACTAGCTTCGATGGTGCTTTCTGGAGGCGCCCAGTGCTGTGTAACTGTGTCCGGAGTGACTGGCCCATCGCAGGTGGGTAGATCTCGATGGTATGTTCGGGTGCAGCGAGGGCTCTTTTTAATGAGGCTGTTTGGGTGTCAAACCAAGTGTCTTTGGCTTGGATTCCTTTGTAGAGGCGGTGGACGTGTTCCCTTGAGATCTGGCCATCCCGCGTTGCTGTCTGTTGGGTTTACGTTCTTTCTAGGCCTGCCAGAAGGACCCTCTCCTGCTGGAGCCGGGTGCTGTGTTGTAGGGAGCATATGCAGTGGCTCTCCCTGCTGGAGGCTGGCGGGTTCCAATGCTTTCTTCATCTATGGCAGCATCTAGGCAATCATTTTACCATTCAAAGCATGATCCTTCCTCACTGGCTGGGGATCGCCTGGCTGTTCTGCTGGGGACTCTGTGTCGCTGTAAGATGCCTTGTGCCCTAGTGTGCATTCAGAAAGGTCTTTTGGGTGCCCAGTTTTAGATGTGAATTGCTACCCCTCCACACCACGGGCTGTAGTCATGGCTGTGAGTGACTCTGCCAGCACATCATCGCCTTGGGGAATCCCCACCCCCTGCTCCCCACAGAACTACATACCTTGCACTGGGGGCCTTGCAGAGAACGGGGTAGGGCATTCGGTTGTTTCCTCTAGTGCAGTGATGCATCAACATCAAGAGATTGTACTCATGGCTGGCGGGCCCATTGTGTTCCCACTGGCTAACCATCCGTCTCCACTGATGATTTCTATGTCATTCTCGCTCAGCTGGCAAGTACAGAAAGGATGGCCCACTCTGAGTGCCTCCCTTCTGGGGCCTGGAGATGCCTTGCGGAGACCTGTTTCCGGAGAGCAACTGCTCAGAATTTGCTGAAAACCAGCCCCTCAAGTCAGGCTCCCCAAGTCATCTGTGACAATAATGACCATGGTTTCTGTCTCTTGCTAGCCCCAGCTCAGCCTGGCTCCTGATGGCCACGGTGTGTTTTCTCTGCACCCCACACCATATCTGCAGCCAACCACAGCTCGCACCATGGAATCTGAACTTAGGCCGGCTTTGGCAAACGTAGGGACCAGAAGTTCGGCTCCTAAATCCACACCCAGGCATGTGAGTCAGAGATTGTAAGCGACACTGAATAACTGGCTCCTTCTGGCTTCATTTGGTAGGAGCAGGGGGTACGCAGCACCTCTGACAACCAGGTCACATATGGAGTTACTTGCCTATCTTTAGGCATCCACGCTAGCAAATGGTGATCTGCCCTGCATTGAATCTGGCTGGAGGTCAGCTTGCTTTTTGGCTATTGGCCTCACTACCAAATGAGCAAGACTCTTGGGAGGCCACTTATTGCAGTGTCACTGGGAGCAGAACTCCCTCCTGAAATATGCTGAGCCCTCCTGGAATTGCCAGCAGCTCTGGGCTGGGGGGATTAGGGCAGGAGGAGGCTACAGGTTGCTCTCTCTTGGTCTGAGCTTTGCTGCCTTACTACTTTTTCTGCCCTCGGCCTCCGAGCAGCCATGATGATCCATTAGGGAAGCCCCAAACATGGTGAGATCCCACAGCAAACTCAGGGCAGCACTGGTGAATCACTACTTGCAAGTGGCCCAGGCCCGTTGCCCCAGGCCTTGTGAGCTCAAATACCAGGCATCTTCCAGCAAAAAGTCTGCTCTGCTTTTTGCCTCTCTGAGCAGTTGTTCCATGCAGCCTTGTCCGGCTGTATACAGCTCGCCGCTCACTGATTCCTCTCCTCACAGGTGATTGTCAAGACCAGAACGGAGTACCAGCTCCAGCAGAAGAAGAAGAGAAAGTTGCATGTCCCCGGAATTAAAAAACTGAACATAAACCTGTACGATGAAGTATCAGAAAAGGTCAAGGTAAAGCATTCTCCTGTCTCCCCTCCCACCCCACCTCAGCAGGGATTGTGATTTGAGGGATTGTCTCTCACATTGACACTGAAATGGGGAAATTGAATAATCCAGATTAACTCAGACCAGCCCTGTTTTAGCCAGGAGAGGGGCCAATGTGTCACCTCCCACTCTCTGTCCTTAGGGGAGAAGCCAGCAGCCTGAAACCAGAGCAAGCCGATTTACATTCCTTACAGAACAGTGCATGGGCCGCTCTGTGCTCTCCACGGGCAGGAGGCTGGTGGAGATCCTGCCTCTCTCATGGGTGGTGTGAGGGCAAAAGGGCAGAAGAGGAAGAGGGACAAGGGAGGGCCTGTCGCTGTAGAATGGTCTGTTCCTGGGGCTGCTTCCTCTGCTGGAGAGCAGAATGGGTTAACAACAGTCCTACAGACAAGCCAGGAGGAGGTGGCTAGCATGGGATTCCCTAGGGATGGCCAGGAGGCCCTGGTGCTGACCAGCCCCCCAGGAGGTCACTGCAGTGAGTGTGGCAGGAAGGGGCCCTAGTCCAACAGCACAGATGGGGTGCGGGGCTGCTCCCAGGAACAGGATCTGGTTTTCTTCAGGAGATGCCACCCCCCAGCATCCCACAGAGGCTCAAGTGGCAATGGAGGAGGGAGAGGGAAATGGGGCTTGCTGGGAAAGGGCTTGTTCAGGGGACAGCAGAGGAGTGGGGCTGTGGGTGAGGGGCAGACTCAGACAAGCTGGGTTTGAATTTTCAGTGCTCGGCCAAACCAAGTGCCAGAGCTGCAGCGTTTGCCCATCTCTTGAGCCCCTCCACCTTGGGGTCCCTGGGCCTGGGGCAGTGCCATAAGCCTGGACACCACAGATCCCTGTAGTTCATTCACCTCAGGCTTAGAGGAGAGGCAGGATGGAGCCTGGGGACGAGGGGTTTGTAACCATTTCAGCACAAGGGTGTGGCTAGCTGGTCACTGCTGCTGTTCCCGCCCCCCAGGCTCACACACCCCCTGGCTCTGACATGCACTTGGCAGGGGCGTCTGCAGGGAACACCAGGTGGAATGGGCAGTGACAGCAGAATCCCTTCCACACGGCTGATGTGGACTGGCATAATACACTCCATATGAGCCGGTTTCACTGCTACTGGGTTAACCGGCTGTCCGGTGACTTCTGCCTCCAGACATGCAGACTGTTTGGGGGGGCCCAAGTCCAAAGGTTCTGCAGTGTCCCAATTTCCCTGGCGTGCTTTGTCTCTGGTCCCTTGAGAAGCCACACTGGTTGTTTCTTGTCCCTCTGATTTTTCCAGGATCATTGTCCTTAGCTGCACGTTATTTAGGGCCCGTTTTAGGACTCAACTGTCTTACCTCTCACTCCTGAATTTCGATCCTTCTCCCCATTGCATGTAGAGGTCTCTGGGGGCCATATTCTGCCCTCCCTATTCACACTGAGTAGCCCCTGGCTCAGGGGGAATCTGACCGTAGCTTTCTTCATTCCCCCACATGTGCTTTGTGGACACTTGAAACCCCTGAGCTGTGTCAGACTGTATAAGTGCAATAACGTTCCCAGTAAGGTACAAGAGACACACACCCTCAGGCAGGGCATTAACCAGACAAGATGGGTCAGGAAGACACCCCCACTCTCCCCCCGGACAGCTTATTCCAGACATGCCCATTATGCTTTCTTGCCCCTCCCTCTGCAGTCTCTGGTCCTGACTATTGTTGGGTACCAGACCCTGGGCTGTTGGTCCGGTGTGCTGAGGCCATAGCCACATCCACACCTGTACAAACACAGCCTGGTTTTCAGTCCAGTCTCAACCCGATCATCTCTTTGACAGCCATGGGTTAGTTCCTGCGGTGACATGTGCCCAGGGTTGGTTAAAGCTGTTAGGTGCATCTAGCTGTGTCTTTGCATCCACAAACTGAGAGCCCGGTCTGAAAACCAGGCTCATGATGCATTTCCTTTGCCCCCTCCCCCTACTCAGATTCCACCTCATATCTTCTGAGGGGAAAAAGAAAAAAAAGAAAAGAAAAAGAGAACGAGCTAATGTGTCTCTGAAGATCAGCTTCATCTTATCTGGGAGTAAACCCGCTAATGTGCATAAATGTAGGGTGATTGCACGGCATCTCTGCACAGCCGAGTTAAGGTTGTTTGGATGCTTTTCTATATCCTATTACTATGGTAGGATTTCTGTTAAGTTAAACTTTCCCTCTGAATTTCCTGGATTCATAACACTTATTTGGGGGATAATTGCACCATCCCTATAATGTTTTTACCCTAATTACTGACGTACTCTTAGCTTTAACTCCATCTTGGGGTATCTTTTGGTTTGCAAAAAATCACAACAATTAGATACAACAGCCTCAATAACTGTGTTAAATTATAACCTAATTTCTTCAAATGGAGTCTATGCACTTGATTTCAGTGAGTTTTAACTACATGGGAAGCCTGAAGAGGCTGGGCTGTTCTAATAAGGCCATTTGGGACAAGAACATGTCAGATGCAGCATGTTTCATTTCCTAAAGGACTCATTTGTAGTTTAATTTTAACTTCTACACTAATGTATGGGTACATTTGTAAATTCCCAGGCAATCCATTCGATGCGCGCTGAGGATATGGTGTGCTCTTCCAAAGAGGATGTGTCCCTTGTATGAGCGCAAAACTCAGCTTGGTCTTAACTCTGGTGTCCTCACCAGCATCTTCCTGGTGTACTGGTGTATTCTGTTCATTGGCCTGGTCCCAGAGGCCCATTTCTCCCCCAGGTTCCCGTGGGATATGGAAAATTCCCTCTGGCATTATAAAAACCAGGACCGTGACCTAGTCACATTCAAGTCATGTACCTGAATGCAGCATGCTCTGGTAGTGGGGAATTCCTGCTTCCCGTACGGAGCTCTGCAACACGTCTAAGCATCAAGGTGAAATAAATGGCCATGGGATCCACGTAGCACTCACCTAGCATTATCTAGGAATCACAGTGAAGGGAGTGGGCTGGCTGGCCACTCCCTGGAGAAACAGAAGGGGCTGTGTTAGAATCCACTGGGTCTGCCAGAGCAGCTGGGTCTGTTGGGGAGTGGAGGAAGCCCAAGTCGTCTTCAGAAGCTGTGTGACCCTCACAAAGTTTCCACTGGCTCTGAGTTCCACCTGTGAGTTCCTCATAAGTCTGGGAGCTGCAGCACATCCCCGCACGGAGCGGGGTTGCGGGGAGGTCGGTCCCAGAGCTGGGTGAAAATTTCCAGTAATTATTTTACTGAAAAAAGGCAGATTTAGATCAACCGAAACATTCTGTGAATTTGTGTTGAATTCGCTTAATTGTTTTGATAAATAAAAATCCCTCCAAATAAAATGTTTCCTTTTGAGACGACGTCTCATTTTGAAATGGATTTCAATTTTATTTTGGAAAAAAAAACAACTGAAAAAGGTTAAAGCTCTAAAAATGAAACTAAATGTTTAGTTGGACTCAAAACCATTTTTGGGGAACATTTTGGTTAGGGCAGCGAACTGGAAAATCAGGTGTTTGCAGAGCTCTGACCGTGCCCTCATCTACAGTATACAACCCCTGTGGGATCAGGGAGTTTGCACCGGTGCGGGTGATGGAGAGGCCAGAGGCTGAGCCACAGAGGCTGGCTCTGCACAAGTGGCACAATCTGGAATGGGCAGAGATGACGCAAGAGATCCCTGTCTTCACTGTCTGACTCACACCTGGGCCCTGGTGCTTTAATGCAGCTGTAAATAGCAGCTCTCACACTATGAGTCACAGCCAAAAATAGAACTTCAGAACCAACAAGCCAGCCCCCACAGGAAGCTTTCTGTTGGAGGAAGCAGTGAAAGTTCTTTGCAGCCACTGCTGCAAATAACATCAGACCTTGCACCGCCCAGAGCCAGCCAGGCAAGGTCTGGAAGTGAAAATGAGCCTTCTCTTGCTGACTTTCTCTCTTCATACCCATGCAGACTGGGTGCCTGGTCTTAGCCGGTGTGCCTGAGGCAGGTACTGTGACACTGCCCATGCTCTGCAGCACCAGCAGCAGCGGGCATTTCCATCCCATGCTGTGGAAGGAGAAGCGGCTTTATTGAGCGATGTATAAATGATGTCACACACGTTCTGTCCGGGCCAGTTCCTGGGGGCCGTTTCTCCCCCAGCAGGGTATGAGTAACTTGCCAGTGACGTCACTCTATCTACTTATCTTGGGTCGACATGTATTCCCCACCCCGCAGCTGCAATGGCCATTTGCTTCCCTCTGGAATCCATAGAGACCAGAAGGGACAGTTCTAACCATCCAGTCTGTCCTCCTGCCCACCACAGGCTAGTGAGCCCCCCTCCCGCCAGTGACTCCTGCAGGCAGCCCAGAACATGCAGTGGAGTTAGAGCAAATCCCTTTGAAAGAGACATTCTTTCCAGACTCCAAGTGATGGAGAACCCTCCATGTCTCTAGGTGAGCTGTTCCAGGGACTAACTAACCTCCATTTAAAATGTGCTCCTTATTTCAAGTTTGCCCGGCTTTAGCTTCCATCCACTGGATCTTGTTCTCCCTTTTCTGCAAGATTAAACAGCCCTCTATTATTAGAAATTTCTGCCCCAAGGAGATACTTGTAGACCATGATCAAGTCACCTCTTAACCTTCTCCTAGATAAATGAAACAGACTGAGTTTCTTTAGTCTGTCACTGCAAGGCAGGTTTCCAGACCTGAATCATTTTTGTCGCTCTCTTCCAAACCCTTTCCAGTTGGTCCAATTGATCAGAAGTCCAGACACCAGACCTGGACGTGGTATCCAGTGATGGTCCCACCAGTGTCATATACAGAGGTAACACCTCCCCTCTTGCTATAAGGTCTGTGTGGACACCTGGCCTGGCTATGGTGATGGTCTCATCAAGGCAGGGTACCCTCTCTCATTGTCTGTCAGTGCCTTCAGGTTTGGGGATTTTTGCCAAAAATTTTCATCTGGGTTCATGCCAGTTGTTCTGTTTTGTTCCCTTTCCTTCCAGCTGACAGGGTTGATTCTCATCACGGTGGCCTTCCTGGCCTGCCTGCTCATGCTGGTCATGTACAAGGCGCTGTGGTATGACCAGCTAAGCTGCCCAGAGGGCTTTGTGTTTAAGGTAAGATGACCCCTGTCTCCCTCCGGCCTGTTTCAGTTACCGCCTTACTGATGGTGGTGCTGGGCAAGGAAGAATGCTGCTATCTCCTCAGTGTCAAATGTTTGCATTATGCTGAGCCCGGGCTCGTGTATGGGCCCCAATCTTGCCTGGTACTGAGGGCCCTCCGCTATCCATGCTCTCAGCTTTGCAGGATGAGCTCCCTTTGGGACTGTTGGGAGAAGGCCAATTGCCGAATCCCGACACTGGCCTGTCTCTCCCAGTAAGTGTCTTGTAAGCAATGTTCACATGGAGGTGGAGTTGAGCGTGGGTGAGCGGTGTAACCAGCTGGTCACAGCCGCTGGCTGTGTTCTTCCTTGGGACACCCCACATCCGCAGGCATCCTCCAGAGGGACCCCAGCAAGCATCTGACCTGCAGAGCAAAATGCCTGTTCCTCTTGACTGGGGCGAAGTGTCCCATGAGCGATCTGAAGGAGAGATCTGCTGATACAATTTGCCCAGTGGTACAAGCATATGGATTGGTGTAGCGATTTGCCTACCTTCTTCTGCTACTGCGATGCCCAGAACTGAACTTGGTGCTCTTGTGTTGTACCTGTCTATCCCCAGGGAATCTGAATCAGCTCCCTCTTCTGACTTGATGCCCTTTTGTATGCAGCCCAAAACGTAGGGGCTGTTTTACTGCTTTGTGTGGCAGCTCGCTGGGGCTGTGCTTTCCAGCACACTTCTAGCTCTCCCCCCAGGGCTTTTTTCCAAGCTCACGAAAGCTTATGCTCAAATAAATTGGTTAGTCTCTAAGGTGCCACAAGTACTCCTTTTCTTTTTACTGAGTACTTGTGTATCACGCCCTCTCCCAACCACTGGTTAGCTTGCATTTGCCCAGGATCAGTCCAGTGTGTTATTTCTCCCCCTTGGCAGCACTCTGGCTTTGTGAGCCATTTGCACACCATTGCTGTACACACCCAGACTGGCCTCCAGCTGGTGCCCCTGCTGGGCGATTTCAGAGTGCAGTGCAGAGGTGCAGGATGCCACTAAGACTGGCCCTTTCCCAGTGGAAACATGTTTACTGCTTTGGGAAAAGAAACCCTGTGTCTGTGCCACAAGCAGCAGAAGCCAAGTGGGTGGTTTCATGGGGCAGAATATCCCCCCATCTTCAGGCCGGCAGGCTGTGACTGCTGGGCAGCTGAGGTACAAAGGGGGGGGGGGCCTCCAGGGTGTGGTGTTGGAGCAGAACTCTCCTTGTGCTTCCTCCCGGTGAGCCTTGACTCCTGTAATTGGCCTGTGGGGGGAAAGGGGGGAGGGCAGAATATCAGAGGGATGCAGCCTGCCATGTCGGGCTGGAGGCGGGTGGGGGGCGGTAAGGAGAGACCATGCCGAGGGCCCAATTCAGTGCAGGGCTTTTTGCCAGTGGAAGCTGGTGCTGACCCAGTGGGAGGAGCCCACCTGGAGGAAAGTTCACAAGGAGGGGACAGCAGTGGCACAAGGTGCCAACAACTCCGGTCCTGCCAGGGGCCCATGGCCACCCTCAGTGCTGCTGTCTGGGGAGGGGCATGGCCAAGGCAGCTGGGGTAGGGCTGGTCAGAAATCTTTTTTGATGGAAAATTGGGGTTTTGAGGGAATGAAATATTTCATGGGAAGTGCCTGGTTTCCAAGGAAAGGTCCAGAAACGGGCAGCCTGAAAACCAAAATATTTCCATTGTGAGGTGCTGCCACGGTGCCTTTTGGGCATTGTAGTTCGGGTGCCTCTAGCTTCCCATTCTCCTCTCTGGTCAGGCCACATTTCCCTAAGTGAGGGGTGTGAAGGTCGAGTGCTGACGTGCTGTGTGGGTGGGGCGGCACATGCTCACGCCGTGAAGAGAGCACTGTGAAGCTGGGATGAACTGTGGGGTGTCACCCAGATACCCAGGCTTCCCTCCTCTCTCGCTGATCACACACTGTAACCCACCAGCCAGTGCATTCGCTTCGTGTCCCCCTCCATGCCCAGTCCACACAGGTTATGAGTCTGTGACAATCTGAGCCTGCGGAGTCTGGCTTCTCAGCCCAGGCTACAAAGATTCGTGTTTAGGGGCTGTGCAGTAGGCAGCCTGGCAGGTGTAATGCAGGGCAACCTGCTGCTGCAGCCTCCCCTGGCGGTACCTAATTCTGGAAAGTCCAGGAGAGGCAGGGAGTGTTTCGGGGAGTGATTAATGGCACAGAGGGTGCCACAGCAGATGACACTAAGCTGCGGGGAGAGGTAGATACACTGGAGGGTAGGGATAGGGTCCAGAGTGACCTAGACAAATTGGAAGACTGGGCCAAAAGAAATCTGATGAGGTTCAACAAGGACAAGTGCAGAGTCCTGCACTTAGAATGGAAGAATCCCATGCACCGCTACAGGCTGGGGACCGACTAGCTAAGAAGCAGTTCTGCAGAAAAGGACCTGGGGATTACAGCAGTGTGCCCTTGTTGCCAAGAAGGCCAATGGCATATTGGGCTGTATTAGTAGGAGCATTGCCAGCAGATAGAGGGAAGTGATTATTCCCCTCTATTCGACACTGGTGAGTCCACACCCGGAGTACTGCGTCCAGTTTTGGTCCCCCCACTACAGAAGGGATGTGGACAAATTGGAGAGAGTCCAGTGGAGGGCAATGAAAATGATTAGGAAGCTGGGGCACATGATTTATGAGGAGAGGCTGAGGAAACTGGGGTTATTTAGTCTGCAAAAGAGAAGAGTGAGGGGGGGATTTGATAGTAGCCTTCAATTACCTGAAGGGGGTCCCAAAGAGGATGGAGCTCGGCTGTTCTCAGTGGTGGCAGAGGACAGAACAAGAAGCAAGGATCTCAAATTGCAGTGGGGGAGGTCTAGGTTGGATATTAGAAGGGTGGTGAAGCACTGGAATGGGTTACCTAGGGAGGTGGTGGAATCTCCATCCTTAGAGGTTTTTAATGCCCGGCTTGACAAAGCCCTGGCTGGGATGATTTAGTTGGGGATTGGTCCTGCTTTGAGCAGGGGGTTGGACTAGATGACCTCCTGAGGTCTCTTCCAACCCTAATATTCTATGATCCCTCCAGCTGACCGCTAAACAGGGAGAACTGCTCTTTCAGTAACTTTCCAATGGGATACAATGTTAACAGACACAGAACTAAATGAGGCATGTCATTCAGCTACTCACACCCTTCTGAAGGGTCGACCTAGAAGCAGTCCCAGCACCATAGCTTCTCCCTCTGATTCTCAGGCAGGGGCAGCTCCCCTTCTCCTCAATTCTGGGAACAGCTCAGCTACTCCAAAGCTGGATGAAAAAAGTGTGAAATTAGCAAACAAAAACTACATTCAGTGGCAGTTAATGTTGCATTAAGACTTGTCACTAACCCAAACCCTTTAAATGTGACCTCATATCTATTATATGACCAAATCAGCCCATCTGACTGTCACACATTCCATGCATTTGGGAACATATTCTGTCTTAACACAGCTGAGATCACTGGTAAGGTTTTGTGTTAGATGCAAATTTGATGCCATTGGGGCCTGTGCAAGTATTGGCTGAAGACGGAAGTGAGCTCTGTGGAGCATTGGAGGTGGCAAGGAATGCTGGAATCTTCCCACTTAACTGCTTATTTCCAAGCTTTTAAGTTTTTGGACGGATGGGATATGTCCTGCATCAGCCTGAACTGTCACTAAACGTAGATTTTGTTTGTTGTTAACATGTATGATAAGTTACACACATCGATGCACAGACAGACAGACACACACAAGTTAAAAGAAAATTAAGGTTGCAAAGCCAAGCACTCAAAAGTTAGGAAATGCCAGAATGCCTGTACAACCTTAACTCTGCCCCCTTGTGCATATGCATTCTGATACAGTTTGTAATGATGTGATCACAGACTATTTTTTCCACAGGAGGCAGTGGGGAGATGTGAGGGGATGGAGCATGCTCAGTGGGGCAGAACCTTTGGAGATTTTCCTGCTAACATCTATGAAGTTTCTATGGAGCATGTGTGAAATGCGATTTTTTGAAGGTTTATAACTTGGCCAAATTTAAAAAAGAATTTGCTAACCTGGGCAAAGCAGTTCTCTGAAACAGCTGAACTGTTTTGACTGAAATTTCCCTCCCAAAATCAGCCTGAGGCAAACAGCTGGCAGGGGAAATGTCAGGCCTGCTTGGCCAGCGTGTTGAAAAGAGTGGGAGCTGTTGGTTTGTTGTGATGCTTCCCCAGCAACAGGCTCAGGGAGCAGTGGCAGGGGCAGGCTGTGTTGGGCGCTCCATCAGCACAGCACAGACTGGCCTGTTGGGAGGCAAGTCAGCCAGGTGAGGGGTGGACAAGGGCAGGCCCCAGCTCAACATCTAGCCCCCTGGAGAGTCCCAAGGGTCACAACTATGAGGGGGCATCTAACCCAGCTCATTGGGACCAGTCTCAGATTCCTCCTGTATAGTGTGCCATGCAAGACCCATAGAGCTCGGGGTGATACAGGGGGTCCTGGCCCCAAAAACTGCCCTGGCCTCAGTGGGGCCGGGATTTCAGCCCCGGGGTCTTTTGGGGGACTTGTCTGTCCCCAGCAGCGTTTGTGTGGGGATCCCTGCCTAACTCCAGCAAGTCCTATGGGACACCATGGGCTGCCCAGTTCTGCTCAGCCAGTCTGTGGAGACTGCAAGGTGCCAGCAGTGGCCCCCTTCCCCCACCCTCCTCCACTTGGCCAACATGGACAGCATAGACCATCTTCTCATGGGTCCCTGAGCACAGGGTGTCCATCTTCTCTGAGGGCTTCAGAAAAGGGGCAAAAGCAGGGAAGATGCACTGAGCTGGGATCCAGGAGCGCATGAGTTCAAACCTCACCAATTCCACTCACTGCTATTGATAGATTATCTGTGTGCATGTCACAGCCCTGATTATTGGCCAGTGCTGGGTGCCTCGGCTGCAGTGAACAATCACATGCCCGTTACAAACAAAGGAACTGGGAGCTTGCTGGAGAGGCTCCCCCGCCATGTGACAGCACTGCTGGGGCAGAGATGAGGCAGAAGGTCCCCCCGTCCTTCCTTCCCCCTTTAGCCCCCCTACCCTTCCCCATCTACCTCCCAGACCATGTTGCCTCCCACGCTGACACCGTTGAAGCTAATAGTCTAGGTTTACCCCACTCAGGCAGGCAGGAGTTGGCCCATCTAGCACATTAAGGACATCTGAGGCCTCTCCCCACTGGGATAAAAGGCAAGTTTTAAAGACACGCTCCCTAGCAGGCTTGAACTAATATGTTCTCAAACTATAGGGCAGCCAGGGCAAGTTGCAGTTAACACGTGTTAGCTGGTCAAGGTGAACCCTAGCGGGGAGCCACCAGCAAACATGGGTTAAAATGCAATCTGCCCTGCCTGCACGAGAGTTTTAAACCAGGTTACTTCAAAAGGGCTGGCTGCCGTGTTTAAACATACGCTTGCTGTCCTGGCATGGAAAGGCCCTATCTGATGTAGGACAGCAGCCGGGATCCTGCTACTAAATCACTTAGAGGCTTTTGAAATTCCCCACCGTGCTCCTTCCCTGGGCGGGCCCAGCCTTTCTCTTGTCCTAACTCCTGCGTGTGCTTCCTGTGGGGAGAGCGGCTCGATGAGATTGGGGACCCCTCAGAAGCTGGAACCAGCTCTGCATAAGATGTTTGCCGTTAAATCCCAAACTCAGGGGAAATCACCTGGCTTCAGGAATTTGGGATTGTCAAAAATTCTCAGTTGAAATGATTTTTGACAGAAAATGGGGGTTTGGGCTTTTCAAGAAAAGTGCCTGTTTTCTGTGGAAAAACCAGATACTCCCAAAATGAATATTTCAGCATGGGGATCCTGATGCAGGGCCTCAAGAGAGTTGTAGTTAAGATGCCTCAGGTCCCAACTACTTCATATCTTCTATGGGCCAGGCTCCCTGACCAGATAATATCTCCCATAATGCAACACAGCCACGAACTCCCATGATGCGGCTGCCTCCCAGCACCAAGAGGGGGATCATGGGGGACGTAGGCAGGCAAGGGAACCCAGCATATATAGGGGAATGGTCACCGCGGCAGAATTCAGAGCCCACCCACCCTGTTTCCCAGCTCGGACAATTGGACAGGGAGCAGAATTCTGCTTCCTGGTGCTAAACCAGAGGAACCCGTGTTGTCAGTGGAGTTATGCCAGTGTAAAGAGATGCCGCCCCAGGGAGTGGATCAGCAGGCACTGCAGTGGGTTGAGCTATCTGCATCCTTTCTCTTGCCACATGGAAGAGCATGACCCAGCACAGTTATTGGTTACAAGGGAGCTTGGGGCCCAGCCAGTGTCACTGCTCCCTCTGCTCTCTAACCAAAGCCTGCAGGTCTCATTTGCTCATGGCATTTTCTGCTCTTTTCCCCAGCACAAGCACTGTACTCCCGCCGCACTGGAGATGTACTATTCGGAGCAGGAAGTGGGACCCCAAGGAAGTCTCTACACGGCCATTAACCACTTAAATCAAGGCAAGAAAACCATCCCTGAACTGCCATCCCCTTGGTTACCGGTCATTAATGCCTTGAAGGAAGGTGAGAAAGGCAAAGAGGATCCGGCTGGCATTCAGCAGTAAGGGACAGGAGCCAGACACACCTGGACTGTGGTTCCGGGAGTGCGTGTATTAACTTCAAGGAGAGTATTAACCCATTCAAAGCTAGTTTTGTGTCCCAAATCAACCAACAAAAAGACAATGCTGAAAGGGCGCCTAGGGCAGGAACAAAATTGTTTTCTTTCTGGCACAGAGAAGAGATTTTGCTCCATTCTGAGAGATGCCCCTCCCCCAATCTCTTGAGCATAAAAACGTTGTCTGAACGGTTATTCTTTGCTTTTCTTTATTTCTGTGTATTTATAACGGGGGCTGCAGGGGGAATCTGTCGGCGCGGTGGCCGAGTAGCCATTAGAACGCCATGCCATGCCAAGGCTGAGATGCGTTTTTCTGCACCTCCATGGATAATTTGAGATGGACTGAAGTAATACTCTTCTTCATGCTATATAGGGGTTAGCTTTTGTCTGCACACATTGCATTAGCCCCAGAAGGACCTTTCGGTCCCTGTCCAGTCGTGTTTCGTTAATGGTTTTTTGACACGGTGGTTGCTGAGTGCCCATGACCACCTTCATGGCAGGAGGGAAGAAAATAGGCTATGGGCACACCAGAAAAACAGCAACCTTTTAGAGCAGCTAAGTGCTTCAGCGTTGCTATCCAGTGCTGTATGGAGGCAAATGTTAACACGCATTGCACTTTAATTTGAGTAAGCTTTTAAATGTCATTTATGCTTCGCTAGTCTTGGTTGCAATTTGATTGCTAATTACCAGGCTAAATCTGACACCATTTAATTACATTGCTGCTGGCTATGGTACCTTTTTTGTTTGGTCATTAACACATCTTCAAGGATGTAGGATCTGGTTGATGTGAAATCATTGTACCACTCTCGTTTGCACCGTGTGTTTGTCTGTGTGTGTGTGTGTGTGTGTATACTGATTTTAGGCCCTCGCGTTGTGGAACATCATTGGCGATTTTACACCACTTTGTACATTTTTATAGAGATTGTGATTTGTCACCTTGCAACAAAGCATTTCCAAGTGCCAAAATGAATGTGGTGATCAGCAGCTTTTCTGTAAGTAAAAATAAATGTTCATCTTCACCGTGGCTTATTCATTCTTCTCCCGGTTGTAATTGGTTTGGGGGGGTTTTTTTGAGTCTTTCTTTGCAAGAACTCAGCAATGCTGACAGCTGTGCCAAGTCCAGCTACCTAACACGGAAGTGTAAACAGTGATAATCAAATTCACTGTCACTGCAGCATGGTCCTGTGTCAGGAGCCCAATGCAGTCATTGCTCTGGCATGGGGAAAAGTGCCATGGAATTTAATAGCTTCAGAGCGTCCTAGATTTTAAGGCCAGATGGGACCATTCTGATCACTCAGTCTGACTTCCTGTCTAGCACAGGCCAGAGAGCCTCACCCAGCGACTCTTGCACCAGCCCAGAACTCCTGGTTGAACTAGGGCATGTCTGATTTTAAGGAATGCCCCACACAATTGTCCTCCCTGTTGAAACATCTGTGCTGTTAAATATTTCATTTGCACGCCCCCAGGTTCTTGGTTTTGGGTTCAATGCAAATCTGAAAAGGGCCAATTTTGCTCGTTTGGAGTCTGAACCCAGACTCTGTCCAGACTGAGCCTCAAAATCAGAGCCCAAACCCTGGGCTTGCCCTAATCTATATTCAAACACTTCCTTACTCCCTTTCTGCTTTAGGAGTTGCTTGTAAAACAGAGTGGTTGGGAGAATGCCCAAGGAGAATCAGCCTCCTCAGCCTTTCCCCAGTAGCAACAGGCTCTTAGCACCTCTGGGGCTGCCAGGTGCCACAGAGAAGGTTTACAATGCTGCAGGGTTGTCAAGATTTTTCAGTGCGTGCCGCCGGGTGGGCTGTCTCTCTCTCTAACCTCTGGCTTCGTTCGTTATTATCCACATTTGGCACAAGAACAAAAGTCATCCATGACCGTGACACACTCCTGGCTCTGATGCTGCACAGCACTGAACAAAGGAGCCCAGTATTGTCACTCTGTTTCACAGAGAGGGGGTGTGGAGAGGTAGAACTCAAACCCATGTCTCCTGCCTTAGCCACAGGCCCACATGCTGCCTGTGTTATTTAGCTGTTCCCTGGAGTGATGGAGAACCCCTAGCTCCATGGTGCTGACCCACGTAACAGCTAATGCAATAATATGAGACCTTTCCAATCATCAGTGTGCCCTCTAGGGCCCAGTACAGTGCGGCAGGGAAAGAACAAACACTCCCTCAGCCAGCCGCTAAAGTCACTTCCTGCACCTTTGGAGTTTGTCGGTGGGTTCTCCATCTGGTTTTCATCCTTTGCCAAAGATGACAGACCAATCCAATTGCACTCCCTCCCTGTGCGCAGACAGAAAGGCTTTGAGCTGTACTTGGCAGGGAGACTTTCCGAGTCTTGGTAAAAGAGCCCAGCTTCTTGAGTCCGCTTTTGATTTTGCATGTTTTCATTGGTCCCTCCATATGGTGACCCAGAAGGGAGTCTCTCATCATCTTCCCCTGGGCTTGCAGCCAGAAAGAGCCCACTCTGGGTCTATCATTCACCTGTGGGGGAGACACCCCGCTCTCTGCAGTGATGGGTGGAGATCAAGATTCCCTGTGAGACTCTCTGGTCTGTCAGCTGTCTTGGATGTCCCTCCCCAATAGGGTTAGGTATCATTCACATTTACATGGAAAACTCTTCTCCCAGCATCTGCTGAACTCCTTGTCCCCAAAGCAGAGTTCAGCGTGCTTGTGCCAAGTGCTGGTCGAGCTGGTACAGTCATGCAGCAGTTGGGAGCAGGGGGGTTTCAGGCAGGTGGGAGATATGCACAGCTTGCAGAAGTCTCCACTTCTTGCTCTCTGAAGAGCACCATGCAGGTGCCCCGAGAAGGGCTGTGGCTAGAACACGGCTCCCCTTTGGAGTTCCAGGCACAATCCACACAGATCTGTGCTCTGTCCTCTTGGCTGCCTGGTGAATGAGGAATAGAGAGCTTTGGCAAGAAGTTTTTTGCACTGGATACAGGTGGCCTTGGTTCTCCACCAGTCCTGAGGTTCAACAAGAAGTGACATATGCTGGTAGCTGCGTTTTGTCCTGTATGCAGAGATTATAGCTACAATTCCCAGCAATCTCCCCTTCTTTTTCTCTTCTGCAGAAGTTCCATGGACTTGCACAAATTTCAGGCCTTCTTAAATAAATAGTTCACAGTGGAGCAAGGTAAATAGCAGGGTCCCCCAAGGATCTGCACTAGGACCAGGGCTGTTCATCTGGAAAAAGGGGTAAACAGCAATGTGGCAAAGTTTGTAGATGTCCAAAGCAGACTGTGAAGAGTTACAAGGGAGGGGTCTCACAAAACTGGGTGACTAGACAAAGTGGCAGATTAAATTTAATGATGATAAATGCACATTGGAAAACATAATCCCAATTAGAAAGATAAGGTGGGTGAGATAATATATTTTACTAGACCAACTTCTGTTGGTAAGGGAGACAAACTGTCGAGCCACATGGAGCTCTTCTTCAGGTCTGCTTTCCTATTAGGCAAAATGGTTAAGGATGCAACCCCATGCCCTGGGTGTCCCTAAACCTCTGACAGCAAGAAGCTGAGAGTGGATGACAGAGGACAGATCACTCGATAAATTGTACTGTTCTGTTCACTCCCTCTGAAGCTGCTGGCACCAGCCACTATCAGAAGACAGGATACTGGGCTAGACGGACCATTGGTCTGACCCAGTCTGGCCGTTCTTATTTCTTTCTATGTACAGTTATATTTACATGTAAATAGACAGGAAATGGAGATAGGTATCTGATACTCCATGTAATGACATGAGTGCAGTAAGAAAGCAATTTGAAGTACTCTGCTCAGAAATATACACTAACAGAATACAATTATAGATGTGAGTACATGGCCTAGTCAGGAATTAGACAGGAACAAAGGTTTACTTTCAACTGCAGTACAATTTCCAAGGGGACCTTGTAACACTTAAACATCAGGCCTTCTTCCAGGAGTTGTTTCTCTAGCTGTGCCCAGGGCCATGTCAGTACAAAGGAAATGGAAGTATCTGCCTGGGAATTCCATGTCAGCCTAGGAGAGTGTGGTGGGAGGGTGTGACAGGTTTCGGTCGGTCCTCCGAGCCCTAGGGGTGATGGAGAGTTATGGTCTCACTGGCAGGCCTCAGCCACACCTTCCGGGCGTTGGGGAATTAGCGGGGAAGGTGTGCCGGCCGGAGTCAGTAGCGCACCCCTCAGGCCGGGGAGCGCCGGCACGAGTCAGTAGCATGCCCCTCAGGCTGGGGAGCGCCGGGGTAGGGGAACGCAGGCCCACCCAACTCCACTGCGTTCCAGCCCAGGGCCCTGACAGTGGCGGGAGGCAAAAGTCCCGCCGCTGGGTCAGCGGGGCCGTCTGCGCCCGCTGACCAAACACACCCACCCCACGGTGCAGTTCGGCCCCTGGGCTACTTCCTACCCGGTCTCTCAGGCGGGTCATTCCGGTCCCTCCATCTCGTCCAGGTATTCCGCTGCGAGCAGCTCCGGTCCCTCCATCTCGTCCAGGTATTCCGCTGCGAGCAGCTCCGGTCCCTCCATCTCGTCCAGGTATTCCGCTGCGGGCCACTCCCGCTCCCCCTCTGTATCGGACTCACGCTGGCCCGGGCTGCAGTCAGGCCCCTCCAGGTCCTCTGGGTATTCAGCGGCTGGCAGTCCCGGTTGCCACAGCCCTTCCTCCCGGTCAGGCTCCTCCTTGCCCAGGGCTTTGCCTGGGTCAGCAGCAGGATTGCGAGGGAGCAGCCAGCAGCCTGTGTCTGTCTCCCTCCCTGGTGCTCTCTTCACTGGGCAGAGGGCCCCGCCCTTTGTACTTCCTGTCCCACCCTTCCCCTTCCGGGGATTGGCGGAAGCTTGGTCTGGCCCCGCCCACTCAGGCTGAGAGGGTGGCTCTTTACCCTCTGGTTCGGAGGGGAGCCACCCTGGCTCCCTACATACCCCACCCCTCAAATCCAGCTCCCAATCTTCGGAGCTGGCGTCCTCACCTTCTCCGGGACGGGATAGGAAATCTGCATTGGCGTTGTCTCGTCCCGCCCGATGATGAATCGTGAAGGCATAGGGCTGCAGAGCGAGATACCATCGCATCAGCCTGGCATTATTGTCCTTCATCTTATTAAGCCACTTCAGGGGTGCGTGTCCGTAACCAGTATAAAGGGGGCCCCGAGGAGGTAGTAGCGGAGAGCATCGACTGCCCACTTAACGGCTAGGGCCTCTTTCTCCACGACGGAGTAGTTCCGTTCTCTGGGGAACAGCTTCCGACTGAGGTAAACAATCGGGTGTTCCTCCCCATCCACCTCCTGCGAGAGGACCGCCCCAAGCCCAACGCCTGAGGCATCTGTCTGGACAATAAAGTCACGATGAAAGTCGGGGCTGAAGAGTATTGGATCGCTACACAGCCGTTCTTTGATAGTTCGAAAGGCCGTCTCGCACTCGTTGGACCAATGCACCTGGCGGGGACTGTCCTTGGTCAAGAGTTCCGTTAGCGGGGCCGTAATGCTTGCGAAGTGGGATACAAACCGCCGGTAATAACCAGCTAAGCCCAAAAATTGACGTACTTGCCTCTTCGTGGTCAGCACCAGACATTCCTGGAGTGCTTGGACCTTCCCAATGAGGGGGCGGACCTGTCCCCGGCCCAAGGTGTACCCCAGGTAAGTGGTTTCCTCCCGCCCAATTCGGCATTTTTTCAGGTTGGCCGTAAGCCCGGCTGCGCGGAGGTCCCGGAGGACTGCCGCTACTTGGTTAAGATGTTCCTCCCAGTTATTGCCATAGATGACCACATCGTCCAGGTAGGCCGCCGCATATTTCGTGTGTGGTTGCAACACCCGGTCCATCAAACGCTGGAATGTTGCCGGGGCCCCATGTAGGCCAAAAGGCATCCAGGTGAAATGGTATAACCCTGAAGGGGTGGCAAACGCGGTCTCCTCCTTGGACCTGGGATCCAAGAGGATGTGCCAGTACCCCTTGGTGAGCTCTAAAGTGGTGATATAACAGGCCTCCCTGAGCCGGTCGAGGAGCTCATCGACGCAGGGCATCGGATAGGCGTCAAATTTTGAGATGGTGTTTACCCT